TCATCTGCTGCTTGCATGTCATGATGCGTTACCGATTCGATCGATCTTTTATAAATTAACATTAAAATCTTGTTGAATATTGACCAATGTTCAGTTTAATTTCCGTGATTTTGGCGAACAATTCAGTTGAATACAGTAGGAATAATTGTGGGGGTGGGGGGATGTGCCTACCTATATTTCCTTGCCACAAGCGGTTTTCTGGCAACTGTGCCACAAGCTGGATTCTGGCAGTTTACAAGAAATTGTGGCATACATGCCGCAAACTTTGTGGCAACCTTGCCACATTAGTTGCCACAAGTGCTAATTTGCATGCGAAAATATGCATATGCTGCAAGTGTGCCGCAAATCACTTGTGGTACACACGCCACAAAGTTGTGGCAAGCTTGCCACAAGTATGTGCCAGAAGCCTTGTATTTCCGTAAGGGTGAGGCAATGGTAAGAGCAGTGATGAGTTTGTATGAAGGAGCAAAGACAAGAGTTAGAGTAGGATCGGAGTTGTCAGAGGAGTTTGAGGTGAAGGTGGGTGTGCATCAAGGCTCTGTACTATCAACCATTGATATTTGTAGTTGTCATTGATGTAGTTACAGAGAGCGCAAGAGAAGGGCTGATGAGAGAGATGTTGTATGCTGATGACTTGGTCTTGATGGATGACACAATGGAGGGATTGAGGGAGAGGTTTGTAAAATGGAAAAAAGCACTTGAGAGTAAGGGTTTGAAGGTAAATCTGGGAAAGACAAAAGTGATGGTGAGTGGGACGGAGGAGAAAGCTTTGGTGAGTAAGGTTGACCAATGTGGCATGTGTGGAAAGAGGGTAAAGGTAAATTCAGTGCGGTGTGTGAAATGTGGGAAGTGGATACATGGGAGATGTGCAAAGATAAAGAGGGTGACCCAAAGATTGGCAAGGGATTTTGTGGAAGATGTAAGAATGGAGCTGGAAGGGTGGTGGAACAGGAAGAAAAGTTGTGTGATGAGGTTGAGTCAGTGAAGGAGTTTACATACCTGGGTGACAAGGTAAGTGTGGGTGGTGGGTGTGAGGTGGCTGTAACAGCTAGAGCAAGGTTTGCGGAAGCGGTAGATCGGTTGGCGAAGGCAAATGGGGTACGTTGGTATGGGCATGTGCTGAGGAGGGAGGATGGACATGTATTAAGAAGGGCCCTTGATTTAGAGGTGAGCGGTCCAAGGAAAAAGGGAAGGCCAAAGAAGACGTGGAAGATGCAAGTGGAGGAGGAGAGTGGGAAGGTTGGGATGAGGATGAGGGATGCTTTAAATCGTGCAAAGTGGAGGGAGGGGGGTAAGAGCGATTGCCACTAGTTTAAGGTGAATCCGGCCACCCTCGTCTTCGGGGACCAAACCAGATTTAAAACTCTGGACTAATACTACTACTAGAGTAAATGTCAGGTAAACCCCAGGTAAATGGCAGTAGCCCATAGCGTCAATAACCATTTTGAAAAGTGTCAGTGAAGTTAGCATACGATTCAGATTATCATATGGATTTAAGATTTGCATTCAGTTGAACACATGTAGCTGTTTATTTTCAAGAATAATAATATTTTACTGTATATTTTACATTCACCCTTTTAAGAATATTTGCTGGTTTCAAATGATGCCACAGAATCAATTAAATATGAAACAGTCAGAATTACCTTTCAATTCAAAAGCATACAACTCATCATCTTGTGCCATATTAGGAAATACTTCTTTCTCTATAGATGTTGGTTTGAGCTGTAAAAACATACGAGAAGAGTTGCATTTTTATATTAAAGCAAATGATGAATGTATCCATTTATACAATAAAACTGTTACAAACAATACTGGCTGTTTTTACACAAAACAGACAGCGACTAAAATGATTAATTGAAAAAGAATTACATGTAGGACATTCTGTTTGATTACTTTTTCATTTCACATACATGTATGTTATAAAACAATCCATCAAATCTTAACATAACTCATTAAATAACAATTATGTAGTTGACAGCAATATACGGTATGCAAGTGAAATACTACAATACTGGTACTTAAATTAAAACTCATTTACTGGGTTTTTTACTTTTTGCTGACAGATTAACCCGTTATGCACTAGACTTTCTTGCTCCAATTTTTCTGAACTTTTTTCTTATATTCTTCAATATTTCTTGAAATGAACTAATTTTGGACAGAATTTGAGTCAATTTTCAGTTGTTACTCAAAAGATTTGGTTATTTTTGTCCCAATCTTCTGAAGAAAAGTGCAGACTAAAAACGGGACTATTTTGAGAATTTGTGATAAAAAGAGATTGCTGGTAGTGAAAATGTTAAACCCATGTAACATTATGATAGAACTCATCATTTCATTGAATTTTAAATCTATGAAATATTAAAATAATGAAATTAAATAAAAGTTAAAAATAATGCTATTATAAATAGACCACACAAATATTAAGTCATCAATGATAATATCTATACATACCTCTATTCTGTCTAATATTGCTGGATTGAATATATAAAGACCTGCATTAATTTTATTAGATACAAACTCTTGTGGTTTTTCTACAAAACTTTCAATCTTGCAGTTTGTGTCGTACACTACCACACCATATTTGGAAGGCTCTTCTACTTTGGTCACCTAAAATATAACGATAATAATTTTCAACACCTATGTTAACTACCGGTATATGGTGTATGTATCTCTAGCGGTAAACAGATGATGTACAAGCTGGTACCACAATGACATTTACTCATAATCCTATTGTTAACACAACTGTTCTATACTATTATTTTAATATTTTGTATACAACGTACATGTATGTATACTTTGATATGGAGAAGTGTTTAATCTGAGGCAAATCATCATGATAGTCTTGGAACACTTGGCAATCACTCAGATCATGAACATCCAAGATTTTTGATTTATGTATACATTGCTATAGTTCAGCATTGCAAATTAATTTGCTATGTGTAATCACTACAATAAAATTGTGTCATCAATCCATATGCACCCTTGTAATGGACACTAGGATACACTCACCACAATAGTCCCCTCTTTGCCATGTTTTCTGTGAAAATCTATCATTTCCTTGAATGGAAAATCACAACTGATGTCACTGTTAAGTACAAAGAATGGATCGTCGTCTTCACTTAGCCATTTCTTAGCTAACGCCAATGGACCAGCTAATGAGAAGATAAAGGTTTATTAATGACATCTTTGAACATGGTGTACATCTCTATCACATGTTTATATGGTATATTTCAAGGTACATGTAGACCTTATTACACACAGATTAAATACAGCAGTGGCCACCCATGGGTTCATAATACATGTACTCAGAAAACAATACACATATGCCCAAACATATACATGTAAAATGATTTCATCAACTTTCGGTATTCAGAAATTGATTTTATAATTTCGCCATAAAAACACTAGTTATAACTGTACTACATAAAGAATATCTGATAAAAAAATTATTCCAATTTACTAAAGAAGAATATGATTCTAGCCAAAACAAGGTTTCTGTTAATAATATAAATGTGTGTATAAATTACTGTACACAGACAATAATTAATAACAGCAATTAATATAACAATTAGCTGGAATCATAGACCTTTTGAATCAAATGTTGGTACAATCTACATACCAGCTGTTGTCACCAGTGAGTACAAATAACAGCCCATTCATTATTTATAACAATTATGTATATAATCCTTAAAATAAAATATTTCAATATGCAAATAAAGAATGATATTATAATGAATTTAATTTTAGAAACCTATCAACTGGTTGTAATATTTGCCGTTTACTTGTCACCAACACATGTAATTGATCTGAAATCCAGTCTTATCAATATGCAAAATCTATTATATTAATTAACTCTGAGTGAAAAGAGACACTAACCTGTACCAAGAGGAACTTCTTCATGTGACATTGTAATCTTGATACCCAGCTGTACATAGAAATATAATCAAAGAAAGCTTAGAAAGAACTCCCGTGTGCTGAGAGTATTGAAGACACATTAAAAATTAATTCAAAATTACTTGTACATGAGATATTGATAGAAAAGCTGAAAACTAATTACGTACATCAGGTAACTAATATGAACAGAACAGAACAAAAAAATTATGAATTTTTATGCTAATTAGAGAATTAATATGAACAAATTTTAACCCAAAATTAATCAGGCCTGTCTATTGTCCTAGAGCATTTATGTACCAAATTTTATTCAAATGTGATGATCAGTAATTGAGAGATCAGTGTTAATTAATTATGTTAATTAGGAGATTAATAAGCATAAATATTTACCAAAAACTAATTGGGTTTCTGCATAGTTCTCTTTAAAAGTTTCATTAAAATCCAATTTGTGGTTCTTTATATATCAGTGGAACATTATGCAAATT